AAGAAAATGCTGGGTTGCTTTTTCACACAATATTAAAAAATGCCTTGTAGTCGATTTAGAACACAGCCATCGAAAGTGTCAACACACCCACATCAGCAAGTGAGAAGTGGCCGAGTCGGTGTGTGTGATATGTTTATTTGTACGCTCCAGCTAGTCTCCATGATAAGCCAGTAACATCGTCAAATCACAGTTGCTCTCCGCCTGTTGTCGTCAAAGCCGTGTGTGATAATCGGTTATATATGCCTGCACAGATTGTCAAATATAAGGTGTGTACCAACCCTGTGATTGGGTTAGTACGTGTTTTCCATAATCCTGCTGAAAGTCAGACAAAGGGAATAAAGTGTTGAAGTGTGCAAGGTTGTATGGGATAAAGAGGCTCCAGATTGCATCCGTTTATCACTTTTTAAAATGCATTTCAGATAATGTTTGTGAGGACACTTTAAAAATGGAAGCACTAGTGTGAATTGCAAGTACACGTAGTTTTTTTGATATCACTTTAATTCCTGTTATTTACGGCTTGGCTGGAGAAAACTGGCAGCCGAATATATCTTCTACCGTTTCATTTTGCCTGCACGCCGGGTCTTTACACACTGTCAGAGCCAGTATGATGGAAGGGGAGAATTTAAAATCGATCAGCTGGATAAATAATTCTCGCCAATCTCCGTCCAAATCCATATCCTGTCTGTTCATGTAAAGAATCCTTTAGGAGTGAAGTGCAAACACTGACTGATGGATTACCTCTCTCCTCTCTTCACAGCATTAGGAGCGGCGTATGGCACAGCGAAGAGCGGCACAGGCATCGCTGCCATGTCCGTGATGCGGCCAGAGCTCATCATGAAGTCCATCATCCCCGTGGTCATGGCGGGTATCATCGCCATCTACGGGCTGGTGGTGGCCGTGCTGATAGCAAACAACATCTCTGAGAGAGTCACTCTCTACAAGTAAGATCAGCCTCTGATACAATACTCTACTAGATGTCTTTCAGTGAGTGGGAAGACATTATAGCAGACAGCGTCTTCTACAGCTGATGTGCTTTTAGTTGAAGCCAATACACTTAAACATCAAACTGCCTAACTTTCACAATAAAATCCTCAAAATAAAGAACTCAAAGTCAGTCCTGTATCTATATTTACCACTTCTAATTGTGACCACGTCATGAATTGAAGGCCTTTTTATCTGTTGTGATCCAAAGATAAACATCTGGGTCTTGCACTCGCTAATCGATTTCCTTCTTGGAAATGGTACATTTATTTTGTTCTGGTCATTGCTGTGTTGTGCTGGGCTGGTAATGAGCTGTTTCTTTTGGTAAAACTCCATCATAGAGTGGGCCGGAGAACATTATTCCCTGAGGGTTTTCTTTTTCTTTTCATGCAGGGTATAATTAACTTAGAATCTTTACCCTTGTTACATTTTTCAAAATATACATAAATCAGTTTTTACAGAACAATGTTGCCACTTCTCCCTCTGATCCCTGTAGGTTGGTCATCTGTTGTTGGGTGTTGAGGCTTTTCTTTGTGATATCTTGCCGTCTATTGTTTTCAAACTTTTTAACGGCCACCCATCCTGAACACGACTTCCTGGTAGAGATGATGTTTTTGAGTTGGACTTTTCTTGGTAAATTTGAGAAAAATGAAGTTTAGCACAATGAATGACCCTTTCAGATTGCATATGTTGTAACCACAATTTTTGTTCTCATTTTGCATTTATTTTATTGACTCAAATTAGGGAAAATGCAATAGCATGTTATGCATATTGCCAAATATGTCTCCACGGCAATTCATCGTTGTTAATAAAACTATTAAATACTTTTTTGATCCAAATTTACATTTTCAAACATAAATGGTGCTTGTGAAGTGTCGTAGCAGCTTTAAAATCAGCTGTGGTCTAGAGAGAATAATCAGTAAGGTAACAAACAGCAACACAATATTCATATTAAAAGCAATAAGGATCTTTTATACTTGCAAGTATGACGTGTCCTCCAAAGAGCACGTACTGTTCAGAGTGAAACAGGCTCTCTGTATAAGAGGACATCAAAGCAGATTCCCATTACATGGTGGTATTTTTTCAAATCGCTTTTTTCCGGGGTTCGGTTCTGGGTAAAACAAAGATGATGCGGGTCGGGTCGCGGGTGTTGCATAATAAATATATTAAAATAATAATAATTTAGTTTAATGTTTAAATCCTCAGACCTCTCCCCCGCGGGACCGCACATAATCATAATCTCTGCAGCGCATCTATCTGCTGCTGAGCGCGCCACATTCTGAATGGCTGAGGTGAAGCTCTCTAGCAGAGAATACAGCATTTTCAATAACACTTCCTCAAGAGCGAAATCCAACGTCTGGGAGGCTTTTGGTGTCATCCTAGATGGAGAAAAGAACCAACATCCCACGCTTTTTGAGACAAATATGCAACTGCGTGTGTTAATAATTGCACGTTTTCACTGCTCATACATATATGTTCGGGTCGGGTTGCGGATCTTGTGCCGACGGGTCGGTTCGGGTTGCGGAACTAATTGGCAATATGTGCGGGGGGCGGGTTCGGTATTGCACGTCGCGGGTGCGAGGCGAGAGCGGGTCTTGAAAATCAGACCCGTGCAGGACTCTGCCTCTGGCACTGTATGCAAAACCATCACTCCATACAAGACAATGGGATATACAGATACCCCTCAGACACAGTGTGCAAAACCTGCACTCAATACAGAGCAAAGGGGATACAGATAACACCTTATCCTAGCTTCCTTCCCCTCATCCTTCCTGTAGTGTCATAAAACCCCCTTGCAAAAACATCTGTTGATCACTCACACACATTCAAAGGTCACTCCAGGGACTTGACCTAATCAGTCAAACCGTTGACATGACATTTTCAGAATACAGCAGTTTACATTTCATTAGGTTTAAACTGTATTAAGCTTTAGTACCATCATTTGCATCACAGAAGTCACAGTGAATCAGCAAAGTTCATATATGAATCACTTTTGATATAGTATAGTGTTTAACAGGAGAAGGGCTTGCTTTGACATCACTTTAAAGACAGAATTAACCTTGTTTGATGACGTTGTTCTTTCCTCCGTCCCTCCCCAACAGGAGTTTCCTGCACCTCGGTGCCGGTCTGAGCGTGGGCCTGAGCGGTCTGGCGGCCGGCTTCGCCATCGGCATCGTGGGAGACGCCGGCGTTCGAGGCACCGCCCAGCAGCCCCGGCTCTTCGTGGGCATGATCCTCATCTTGATCTTCGCCGAGGTGCTGGGGCTTTACGGCCTCATCGTGGCTCTGATCCTATCTACAAAATAGTTGTCCGCATCAAAACACCATCTCATTCATTCCACATCAAAGCAGCAAGAACAAATAGGGGATTTTCACTTAACTTCCATTACACCCCGTGGGTCTGACAGGACGGGATGGCATCAGAAACATGTTGGTGCCGCGCTCCCCAGTAGATGTGATCTATCCATATTGTTTAACGCCATCCGGTTGTGTCAGGTCTCGTGAGTACTGAACGGGCATGAAGATGTATTGGTTGTTGTGGGATGATGTGTGGACAGTCTGCTTGATTTGTTGTCTGATCTTAACATGTACAGTGATCCAGAGTCCCTCCACCCCCCTGTAAATGTAGTAACCAGTCTGTGCCGTGAGTGTGAGTATCAACGTTTATCCTTCTGCCCATTCCCCTCCGGAGTTTCGTTTTTCGTTTGGTGGTTTTGATTGTCACTCTCCGTCTTGAGACTGCTGAAGAATCATGCACACTAGTATTTGATCTTTTCATGTTCTTTTCGGGGACCATTTTTTAATCACAGTGGCGAAGAGCGGTCAATACATATTATTTTTGTTCACTATTTATGGAAAGTTCTGAGGACTTTTGACTTTATGAAACTGTCTAAATGGAATAATGTTTATTGAATACCCTATATACATAAAAAATATATAAATGATCTGTGTATAGTTAGATTAATTGCACTGTGGGTAATTGTTCTAAGTGCTTGGAATTCCTCTGGATGTAGTGTGATTATTAATGGAGGATGTCCACATGTTGACATGGGGTTGACAGTGTGTGAGTGTGGGTGTGTGTGAATGACCTGAGTGCATAATGTGTGTGTGTGTGCGTCTTTATGTTTAATATGACATTCTGAAACACTAGTATCGTTTACCTGTAGTGCTTATGTCTTTTTTTGTTTTTGTTTTAAGGTGAGAGCTCACTGTTCAGCCATGCCTGTCAGATTTCCAAATAAAACTCAACCTCCTCCAGAAACATGTCATTGTCATGTGCTTTTTTTTGCTAATGTGAATGCGATGACTTGGAAACAACATTTCCGAGTTAAAGATTAATTTAATAAGAGACAGTTTGTAGAATCAGTAGCTCGATGACAAGTGAAGGGTTAACTAAGGTTGTCACAGTTCTAAGTGCTAAACATGCTTGTTATAAAGAACATTGTTTTCTTAATGCCTTAATACTGCAGTGTTTAAAAGTGGAAATGAATAGACACTTAGTAACTAGTGCCTTCTCGATACATATCCTGCTATAAAAACATTTGTATAATTTTGATTTCTAATGATTAATGATCTTAATTTGCATCCTAACAGACTGATAAATAATACTAATACAATGTAATTGAGTTAAGAATCATTCCCCCTGAAATGTACAAATGAAATGAAAACACTCAAAGGGAAAATCCCTCAAAGTGAACTTATAAGTAAATGTAGCCTACTAAGTCTTATAATGCAAGATGAGTATGTTTTATAGGTTGTGGTATTTATACTATGTAACTACTCCCACCGCTGATAATATGAACAAACTCTAATCTTAAAGGGGACCATCTTCATCATGAATATTTCCACTAATATATTGTTTTAACTGCTATTGTTATAGTATTATTGTGTGTTGTACTGGTACTTTTACACAAACATCTAAATACCTCCTCCACCAGTGAATAACACCTCCCTGCTGGTCCCATGGATGCATAAAGAGAGTTTAGAGACTGCATAAAGAGAAAAGGGGCTGGTCCCTCTCTGACAGGAGTCTGCAGAAACTTCCTGTGGAGGAGACAGTGCTGGGGCTCCTGCAGAGAGCCTGCCTGTTATTGTTTACTGTCACAATCATGTAAAGTAGGTCATTTAAAAAGCTAGCCGCTCATTCCGTTGTAATAAAACAACCATCTAGCTTTAAGTGGCTTCACGGAACTACGTCTCTTCGCTGCTGTCACTGTCAGGGATTTTCCGCGAACAACAGGCAGGTAACGTTAACGTTTTATTCAGCGCTGTTAGCTTCACGCAGCCAACAGAAGCTAATGTGCTAGTTTACGCAAGGTCTGAATCTGCCTCCAGTCAGTTTTTTCATAATACATGGCTAATAAACCGTGAAAACACCGCAATAAACGACTTTATATATTGACTCACAAAACCATCAGTCTTGCTCTGAAATGTGGTGTTCTGACCTTGCTATGGTTAGCTTTCCTGCTAAAGTGTTATTTGATGCGCAGTTCAACTGTGTGGCGTTAGCTGCTCCTGCTAGCGATGGGGCTAACTAAAGCTAGTTAAGAAAACAACAACACACGTCAAATGACCAAAACAGTTTTTCTGATGATGACAGCGATATGTAGACAAGGACCTGACTACTAGCAATTTGTTATCGTTGAGATAAGTAGTAAGCATTTTGTGTGTGGTTGTTAAGTGTCTCACTTTGGTTATTAGCATTTGATAAGATAGCTTAATAAATAAGATAAAGCTGATGTTTGTCATGAAGACATTTAGGATTGCAAGTTCAAAAGGTAATAGGGTCTGTTACAAAGGGTGTAGTAAATGTTGGGGGTAAAATCAAGACACCAGGATAACAGACAACACTAAATGATGTAACTCGTGTAGGAATGTGTTTTAAACTGATTCAGAAAACTTGAAGTGCACAGAGTTACAATCAGCAATTCAAACTGTTGGTAAACTACCACTGATAACAATGTTGTCCTTTTATCTTTCAGGAGACGGACTGATGCTGTTCTGTCAGCATCTGGACTGATCCTGAAGTGTCTCAGTTGCTGCCATGTCCAGGAGAAGCAGGAACAGTAGTGCATGGCGATATGTTTGGGGTGGGATACGACGAGATGCTGATGCCCGGGCACTTGAAGAATGGAGCTATGACCGCCTAGACGTAAGAATACAAGGCTGCTGTTTTCCCCTGAGACCTAACGCTCTGAACGGATCTGAAGCATCAGCGGACACTGGGGTTATTGTTTGTGTCATATGATGCCACTTGTTTACACTCCAGGCAGGAGATAGGATGTGTCACCATGAGAAAATTCACCTCATAAAACCCTGTCTTACTTAAAGTGTCTGATTCTCCTTCGGCCGTTAAACAATGTGCGTTTGTTGATGATTTACTTTCAGTTGTTTGCTGCTTTGTATCAGAACCAATCGTTTCCATAGCAAGTTAACAGAGGCAGAAACAGGATTATTGCCAAGTAGGTTAACATACAAGATATTTTCTTTTGTGTAAAATGTTGCATGCATTAACACAGAAAAAGAAATTAAGTTTTTAGAATAAGCTAAAAAATATATATTATTAAAACTATTACAAAATTAAAAACAGACAAATGCTTACAAGTAATATAGATACACAAAAAGCTTAAATTAATGACAACTAACTCTGAAAAATAAAATATGTCCAGTATATCAGAGATTAAAGAAAAAACAACATAATTCCTGCCTTTCACAATTACATTTGATGTAGATGTGTACATTTTTCAATGCAGTGCCAATTTTCAAAACAAATTTGCTATGCTGTCACATAAGAAATGCTCCTGGCATATGATGTTTTTGTTTATTTGTTGACATTGCTTCCCCCCCCCAGTACAGTGATTCAGACTCTGAGGCAGACTTCTCAGCAGTGATGGTGCCTCCCGTCCCCAGCGCAGTGCCTGTCACCGGAGAGTCCTTCTGTGGCTGCGACTCCCAGGCAGAGACCAACTACAACCCTCGTCTGCGAGGCTTCCACCAGGTTAAAGACTGCCACTGTGGAGAGGAGGACCAGGGTAAAGACCCCTGCTGCACTTCAAGAGCACTTTTATAATAAGGTTGATTGAGAGATGTCGCTTGAGTTTTGGGCTGCACATTCAAATCAAGAAAGTATTTACTCCGTGACTTGCCGAGTCACCACAACAAAAAAGACTCTCTTGGCTTTAACACTTTTATAGTAAAGGAATTATAAATATGATCAAAAACCATTACATTTTGCATTGACATTCGCTTTGTGTATGTCGCTCCATTAAGATGTCATCACTTTATTTATGTTGACAAAACAAACAAGATTTCTTAATCAATGAAGTTGATGTAATATGATAATTCAATCCAATGAACCTCTTTATTCAAATCAAGTAATTTTTGAATATTTACGACGTCATAAAATACGAGGATAGATATTCCAAACTTTATTGGAAAAATTGAAGCTTTGAATTTAAAAAATGACATTCGGTACAGCCCCACTGGAGTCACACCATTGTAGTTTAATGTTATATTTAATTAAGTTCTGTTATTTTCTCACCTATAGATTCTACAAGTAATATTTTTTTGTGCTAATTGACACAGATAAAAAACCAGTAAACAATATGTAATGTCTTGTATCTTTAGCCATGTTTGACTGAATGACTGCTGATGTTTCAGAGTTTGACTGGTTCTGGGATGCCAGCAGCAGATCTACAGCAACATTGCTGAGCTGCGACAACCGCAAAGTGAACTTCCACTCTGAATACAGCTGTGGCACGGCAGCCATCCGCGGCTCCAAAGAGCTGGCAGAGGGGCAGCACTTCTGGGAGATCAAAATGACGTCCCCAGTGTACGGAACAGACATGGTAACCCTCAATGCCTTTACCTCCTAACACTGACCTGCTGTTTCACTACAGAAACCCACATCAAGAGTAAAAGTGTGTGGAAGTCGAGGTTTATATATTGTTCTTTATGTCTTCACAGATGGTTGGCATCGGTACTTCTGATGTCAATCTAGACCAATTCAGACACACGTTCTGCAGCCTGCTGGGAAAAGACACAGACAGCTGGGGTCTTTCTTACACAGGTGAGAGTAACACAACATGCTGTGATGTAGCATTCACTGCTCTCAGGGATTGTTGTATAAATCAGTGTTTTCTTTCCTCGCTCAGGCTTGTTGCATCACAAAGGAGACAAGACGAACTTCTCCTCCCGGTTCGGACAGGGGTCCATCATTGGAGTCCATCTGGACACGTGGCACGGCACACTCACTTTCTTCAAAAACCGCAAGTGTATAGGTTAGTAACAACACATAGCGTAACCAAACAATCCTTATATGAATGGTGGAGTTTGTCAGTGTTCCTTTGGTGACAAACTATGTAACGAATATACCTTTTAAATTACCTAATGTAGTTTGGCAGTCCTGTACTGAAAATCCTTGTACCATAACTCCAAAAAGCTAATACCTTCTCATATATCAATCAGGCTCTGCCATATAGCTCAATATCAACATTGTCTTTATGTAAGAATAAGCAAAGAATACTGTGGCCTGAAGCCTGAGAGGGCGGCCTCCCTCATAGCAGACCACCAAATGTTATGACATTATCTTATGATTTGGCATATCGGATCACTGTATCCATGATCACATATAAAACTCAACAAATTATTTCTTAAGCTTTACAAAGCTTTCTTAGAACCATATGTATGAAACTTATCAAATATATTGTACAGCGAACATGTAATCATTTTCTAATTGAACCATGAGAGGGTAATGTAGGATCTTTGAATCACCATGCCCTAATAATGACATGCTGACTGTACATAAGCTCACTAATTACATGGCAACTTTACTAAACAAGTCAATGATATGACACAAAATATTGTTTTTAGAAGGAAATGTATTTTCGAAGGAACAGCATATAAAGCGATGGTATGTTTGTGAAAGCACTATTCAGAAATTACACATAGTACCTGCCACAGAATTGAGTGACCTGTGTGCTGCACATGTACTTGGTTATTGATATTTACACAGAGTGGTATTGTTACAACATATTACACACTAACATGTCACCATTTACTATCTAGGTGTTGCTGCCACGGAGCTACATAACAAGAGGTTTTATCCCATGGCGTGCTCCACGGCAGCGAAGAGCAGCATGAAGGTGATCAGATCGTGCTCCGCCCCCACCTCCCTGCTCTACCTCTGCTGCGCCCGCCTGCGCCAGCTGCTGCCGGACTGCATCGACACCCTGGACGTGTTGCCGCTGCCCCCGGGCCTTCGTCAGCTGCTGCACAACAAACTGGGCTGGGTGCTCAGTCTCAATAACGGCAGCACAGAAGAAACCCCCGATGGGCCAGAGCCTGCGTTGCCCGACCCCCCGCTGCCCGGACCGCTGTCCTCTGAGAGTGACTCGGAGGAGGGCTGTACGTCCGACCTGGAAGCCTGTCAGAGGAAGAGATGCCGCTGGACATGATGGACGGCTCGACTCCTACCTCTCCTTAAACACTGGCTGAGTGTTTCCTGCCCGCCTCCAGCTTTCCTCGACCTCTGAAGAAAAGGATCGGAGCGGTACGTAGGTGGAAAGCTGTGACGGCGGTATCTCTGCCCGTACGATCTTACTGTGATCTTCCTTCACGCCGTTCAGATGTCTCCATGCTCGTTATTATCCAAACCAGCTTCAGTAATACGTGAAAAGGTGTGGTGTTATTTCGTTAGCTAGCATACGTTGTTGCCGTTCATGTATGAGGAGTGCAGGAACCGACTGTACAGTGTAACACTGAAGTCAAGTATGGCCACATTTCGGTGGTCATCATGGTATGTTTGCACACAAAAAGAGGGTTTAAAAAAAGATAATGTATATTTTCACATGTATGCAATTTATGTGTGTTGTTCTCAATGCTACCAATGCATTATCCAAGTCATCTGTTACATGTTTTACTGGCATCGGCAGTTTTTTGTTAGATTGCCAAATCAAAATGGAGGGACACACTTTAGGTCATTTTGTATTTCTTACCCTCATGTTACAGCTCTAAAGGTAAAACTGTCCAAAATGTTAAGACAGATCAAAAACTTAAGACATTTTTAATGCAGGTTCAAGAACCTGAATGTATTTTATAGCTGTTAGTGCTCCAACAAGGGGCATTAATCATCTCCAATCAACCCATACTCACATGATTCCTCTTTCTAATTATCTACTTCATGTTACAATTCAAATACTTGTTACACTTTTGGCGACATCCATCCGTCACCAGCTTTTGTAAGTGTTGTTTTTCCTCTTTTCTAAAAGATATAAGCTGTATACATAATAAGTGTAGCTCCTTTAAATCTGATTATGAGACAGAATGCCACTCACAAGATACGCACACTTAAGGTAGGTTCTCATGGCTCTTTCTCCGGCTTATAGGTTATTTAGACCTTTTTTGAAAAGTGCGTTTCTTTCATTGAAAAAGTCTGTGATTATAAGCATTTTTTTTCTCTTTCGTACTGATCTGTTTATGCAAGTGTGTTGTTTTGGCCTTGTCCCTTCACGTCCTTTACCAACTCTTCTTGACTGTAAGTAATTCAGGGCATACTCTATTATAAATCCTTTTAGTACGAAACACTCAGACCCTGTTGGCCTAAAATGTGGCTGAACAAAGTTCCCTGTTTGTGAAATGTGGTCCACACAAACACAATTCTAATGATGAATGAATCCATAACTTAGTTAGTTGTGATCAATTCAAGTGTTTCTAGATCATGAATAACTGAGAAGGGGATTGTTATCCTTGAGTCAAATGTGTAAATAATCATTGTAGCTTTTGTGGACTTACACATACAAAATATAAGTATTTAAATAGTATTTGACCAAGGCGTTGAAGCTACAGTCTGCCAACTACTGCCTCAGTCACCTGTCGTTGATCAGTCCTCTGAGGTCCTGGTTTGAGTGGACGTACACAAAGAATGAAGGTACTATGCAATACCAGCCTCTTATGGATAATGGTTTTCAGAAGGACTGTGTTTTAGGATGTTATGATGGAGGCTCTGACACAAACAACAGCAGTGAAAGTACCAGAGGACCACGATCATTAATCACGAGTAGTGTGAGATGACGCACTTAAGTCTGTCGGATTTACGTAACTCTATAGATCTACTAATGTAACTACAAAGAGTTTAGTTGGAATCAAAAGATGTATATTTTTGTTTTATTTCACAGTATTTGTCTTCACATTGATGCATCTAAGCACTTTTTCTTACTGTTGTACTGTAAATAGTAAAATTCTACGTGTGTCTTCTATATCATGTCATATTAATTATACTGTATGTGAAGGCCTTTATTTGCCTTTTTCTGTATAACTTATCAGCATGATTTTCAGCTGAAAATAAAAAATGAATGCCACATATGCACAAAGAACTGGATGTTGTTATTATCTACCTGGGAAATGTTTATTTCTAGATGTCAAAGTGTTACGATCAATGAAAAAATGTTGTATTTCTTTTTACTTTTCATTTTACATACAATATTGCTGTTACTCAAGTGTAGTAGAAAAAGGTAAGAAAATTGACCCGGGATTGGACCAGTTGATTGATATACACATCAGAATTACAAATGACAATCTTTGTTGTATCGTGTTGTCAAAATAAAAAGTGTATTGGGTCACTTTCACAACAGTCCCAAGTGTCCATGTAAAATACGTTTTCTAAATTAGTTAAACGCATCTCGGAGACACTTTCTTGAAGTCCACAGTTTGTAATCCACATCAATTTTAAATCTGATTAAAAATACAAAGGCCAAAAGTACAACTATTATTTACTGTATTATTAATATTTTGGACACTGCATTTAAACCAAGTAGAACTTTGGTTTAAGTGTAATTTAGACATTTGTAGTAAATCTTTTTTAATTATAAAATGTTATCTAAAATATCTGCACCGGTCATTTCTCCATTATTCCTTCAGTTCAATGATTAACGTTTCTTCCTAAAGTCTTCTACTAAAATGTCCCGCATGCGGAACAAACGTGCAGTCAGTTTATGGGGAACTCTTAGCGGGCGGACCGAGTGAGCGGAAGTTTTGTACCTTGCTTGCGGAGGTCAAGTTGCATTGGTCCTTTTCATCAGGGACATTCAGGTACTTATAACTCCATATTATTTGCAAATTATAAACAGTATCAATAGTTCGACAATATGTCTGTGTGTGTCAGAGTAGTAAAGGATTTTAGGAAGTGTTGTTAGCATCTAACGCTAGCTAACAGACAGTTAGCATCAGGACTGGACATGTTATTCTCTCCTCTGATGATCCATGCTGACAGGCTGACATGACGGATAATTAGACCAAAGGCCCCCGGGCAAAGACAGTTAATGGGCCCCTAAAGCTCATAATGTTAGAACAAGAGCCACAGATTCAAAGAGACATTTTTTCTGGTCGTTTTGAATCTCTGTTTGGTCATTTACGTTTCTCTATGGTTGTTTATTGTCTTGTTTTGATTATTTTGCATCTCTACGTGGTAGTTTAACAACTTTGTATTAGATAGTTTTGTATTTTTTGTAGGTCTTTGGTCATTATGCATCCTTTTGTGCTCATATAGTTGACTTCCCAGTAAGGTAACAGTGAGTTCAAACTTTGTGTCTGGCCCTGGGACCCACATACCTTTTCAGTGGTATAAAGTAACTACTTTTACTCAAGTGCTGTACATTAGTAAAATGTTAAGGTACTTTCCTTGAGTATTTCCATTCTCTGCTACTTTGTACTTCTACTCTACTAGAATTCCAAGGGAAATATTGTACTTTTTATGGCATTACATTTATTTGACACTTAATTTTACACAAATAACACGAGGTGTTTATAAGATACACATACACTCATTTACTTTACAGTAGTAAGTAGTGTGTTCTACAATTACAAATTAAAACATTACAAATACTGTGTATTTGTTAGTTATAAAAATAGGATGATATATATTCTATAATAATATAACACTTTCAAAAGAAACTGCAAACTGAGTAATTTTACTTTTGAAACATAAGTTCATTTAGCTGATAATACTTTACTTTTACTTAAGTAACATTTTGAACTCGACTTTTACTTGCAATGGATTATTTTAAGATCCTAATCTTTTTACTTACGGAAAGAATCTGGGTACTTGTTCCACCACTGAACGTTTTAGACCCCTAACCCGTGCATAGTTCAGATGTAAAGCTACATAACTCTCTGTAATCTCTTCCAGGATAAACACTGTGTATCAGTGAGGGTTTCCTGTAGAAGCTGCTGAGCACCAGGCAGTCATGGTGAAGAAAAAGCAACTTCGCCTCATAGCGGAGATGGCTCGGAAGATCCGGGCGTACCGAGAGCTGAAGTCCCGGCCCAGGGAGTCTCAGAAGTACGCCCTGGACTACGAGACCCTGAAGAGGCCTCACACCGGGAAGATGCTGCCGGTGCTGGCCTGGCAGGACGTCCGCAGGGAGACTCGCCTCTTCTCACTGCTGGCCGGCATGAGGATGTTCGGGGTGGGCCGAATGTTCACCCGAAAGTCCTGGCTGGAGGAACATCCAGAGCCCAGCTACTGGCAGATCACTAAGGTCAAGGTGGACTACACAGCTGAGGTGAGAGGGAGACACATTCATGCACTGCTGCAGCTGTTGAGTGTTGGGCACACATGGGGTTTGATAGGATACCTGCAACAAAATGACTCCTGATTTGTGTGCTTCCTAGAACATGGATCATGGCAAAGCCTGGGGGATCCTCAGCCACAAAGGTAAAATGATACCCTGTTTATTCCATTTTAAACAGCGACAGTATTTTGTGTTTGTATTTGTTTATTCACGTTTTCATTTTATTTGTGAATGTTAAAAAATGTTTTGCTTTTCCTCATATTTTTCTTTTTTTTTTATCAGTATTTTTTTATTTCTGTAGTATTTTTAGTATCCTTATTATGTCCCTGATTGTATTTGTTTTAAATCTAAACTTTTATTTTTGAATAATTTCTGAAAAGTAGAAAATCACTTTTCCGGCTTGACTACCCATTTGCATGGTGCATTCTTATGGCGCCATCTTTAAAGTATATCAGTATTAATGATACAAATAATTGTATATGCAACGGTAAACGCTTATTATTGTCTTACCAAACTGCATGTAGTAAATGTGTTGTATTTTGTGCTCGGCAGGGAAACAGGAGAGCGAGGCCAAGGAGGTGGACAAGGCGATATACCACGACTGGCGCCTGATTCCCAAACATATGGAGCAGCAGTTTAAGGAGTTTGAGCCGCTGCCTGAGCCCCCGGTGCGTTACGTCCCGTATCCTCCGCTGCTGCGCGCCATGATGCTGGCTCAGTTCAAGAAGGCACACGGCAGCGCTGCCACCGAGGAGCCGGCCCTGCCCTCACGGAGGGACGTCCTGCTCAACAAAGACTATTTCCGCGAACAGGAAAAAGCAGCGCAGAGGAAAGAGGGAACACCGGTGTGATGCTCGTGGTTTCTAAAGATGACAATCTTGGACATTATGGACCAATCAGATTTGAAAGAAGTCATAACTTCTGTTCTGATGAATCCTGGACTCAAAGAAGTTCTCTATCTACATCTGAAGCAGGCTCTCTGTGTGTAATGTAACTGTGTAATGTGATACATATGAATTATTAAAGATAAGATGGAAAGTGTTGTTTGATGTATTTGTTCCTGCATGGTAGACTACCTAGACTCCTAAAGTACTTCATTAGGGGGATTTCAGTCAAATTATAAGATAAAATCTTAATTAATAAGGTTTGAGTTAAATTATAACATGCTAAGATATAATAACTGGATAACTTGTATTGCCTTTTTTTCCAGCAAACTTTCCCTGCTACCCTGAGCCTCACCTTACAACAATAGGCGGCAGTGGTGGTGGTGGTGTCATAAACAATTATGACAAAAAGTCATAGGATATAATGTTATACAGACATTTCATTAAAAATGTCATTAAAAGTCAGAGCAAGGTATGCTATAATATTTGAAAAAGTTAAAATATTGTCATGAAAATCCATGTATTCATAATACATTTCTTATAACAAGTAATAGTATAGCATGTCATGAAATATAAAAAAAACAATAGTAACTTTTAGACTAGAAAAAACTGCCTTTTATATTGTATTTTTTAAAATTATTTCCTTAATTTTCGCGCAATGGACAGATTTGCATATGTTTTGCTACTCGTGAGACTGATTACACACGTGCCCGCGCTTTGAGCAGCTACGTGCGCGCGCTCTGTCCTCCTGTCTTCCTTCTTCAGAGAAACTCCGTCCAGCTTCTACAATGATCTGCCTGTTTCTGTCAATATTCTCCTACTTCCTCCAGACAGGTTGGTGATATATCTGTTTATTTGTTTATGTTTTATTCATTGTCATTCAGTTTAACTTCCACAGTTGCTCACAGTTTCCACTCTGCAGGAGATGCTAACTCCCCGGACAGACGGCTAGCTACACGCTAACTGGTTAAACAAGTCATGAAACCTTCACTAACTTTGGTTTTGTAACTAACTGTGTGCTAAAATGAAAGAGTAAGGTCGCTGGGCTTTGGAGTTTAACTATTAACAGTGTGAGCTACTGTTAGCTACTTTAGCTTCACTCGTGAGTCGTGGCTACTTTTGACTCATACATACCGGTAGTGGTCCATGTGTCTCCTGTAGAGTTCCTGATCCTATAATTATCCCCGGTGACAGTGCGCTGCTGACGGGCCGCTGCACTGCCATGGGGCCGAGGAAAAGGTCAAAGAGAGATCTGCATGAACTGGAGGATTTGGTGGTTAAACATGCACGGATTAAAGAATCTGGTGAGACGCATTATAGGTTAAAATGATGAGATTGAGGGGTTTTCTGCAGAAACTGTCAAAATGCAGAGTAAATACACTGCTTGTTGTTTGACTAACAGTGAGGGGACTGCTAGGGAAGACTTGAAAGTAATATTTGAGACACTGTTGATCTAAAATGTCATGACATTTGTGAAGACACATATGTAGTTATTATATTAGTTGTTTTTACTTCTAACATGTGTGTGCACTGCTGCATGGGAGGCTGTGTGTATCCAGAGTCTGTCTGCAGCAAAACATATGCTGTGTAACCGTTATATTTACAGTCTTTGAGTGCAACACTGACTGTCTTGAAGTGGATTAGACACTAATGTCTGCACTCTAAAGTTAGTTTCAGATTGGATATCAGCCAGACATTTTTCTACAGAGGACGGCTAGTTCAAATCCTTACCCCCCATCAGGGTTTCACTTGGGAAGCATCAATAGAGTTCTTTTTGAATTACACAAAACCAGTACCTCTGTGCTAACTTCCCAATGTTAATGAATATTATGCATAAAGTATAATTATGTGTCTTTTTGGCTCATATTTTTTGTTCGCTGATGAGTCATGAACATATTTCAATCAAAGATCAAAAATAAGCTTCCATGTCATGTACATGGAAGCCAATACAATTGAAAGTACAAAAGACAAATCCTAATATTGGATTTTAGTCCGCATCCTGTTTTTATATGAATATTTGAATTAAAATTGTTCTTAACTAATGAAAAATCTACATTTCTATTTAATGAAAGGTCTTCATTTCATTTGACCCAGTCACTCCAAATCAATGCAGCATTGTAGCTACCACTACACTGGACAACACACTTCTAAAAAACTAAAAAATGTATTTCAATAACTTCCATATCATGAGCTTATGAGTCCAAATCAATGCAGAATTGTATAACTACACCAGGAGAGTAGGACACGCCTCTTTCCATTCGATTTTAGTGCCTTTTCTGATGGATAAAATAATTAAAAAAATTATAATCCACTATTAAATGCTATTCCATAATGTTCCATCCTTACCGAGGTGCATGCCAGCTTCCCCAGGTTGTGTGTGGTGGACGTTGTCGTTCACTGGTTTGCTTTCATCAAACCTTTGCCGCACTTTATCTCTGGTTCCAGCCTTGACCGGTGTGAGCGAGCGCACCTTCATCGCCGTGAAGCCAGATGGCGTGCAGCGGAAACTGGTGGGGGAAATCACACACCGCTTTGAGAAGAAAGGGTTCAAACTGGTGGCCCTGAAACTAGTGCAGGTATCAAAAGCCTTTTCATACTCAGACTGCCAAGGCACAC